AATCAACTATTAAAAATACACTAAATTCCGATTTTTCGATTATTTATCCAACATATTATTAAGTATAAATATAAAGTGAAACCTCAATGATCGTTTTACCTCCACTTAAGGAATATAAAAAACGTTGGATCAGTGATCTGAAAAACATTCATAAAAATTTGGGTCTAAATGTTATTTATGAAAATGTAATTACAGTACATTAATGACTTCAAGATATTTCATTTGTTTCTCCCAGAAATCATTAAAACTAAAACTAAAGATCTCGAGCAAAAATATAAAATTCCAATGATTATTCACTTGATCCAATCGTCACAAACTAGGGTTAGCAGAAGTAATTGCATTAGCATTCATTAGAAACACTGTAAATGAGAATATAGTGGGGAACATAGCATTTGTTTCTCTAATTTCGAACTGAGATTTCCAATGCAGTTTAGCGCGAAACACTGATTCGACATGAGCAAGGGCCCTCCAAGTTTCTCATAGCTCTTACCATCGGTGGAGCGTGAGCGATGTTCACCTGGCCGCTGACAGTCGTGTATTGAGCACCGCCCATGTGCCCAGTCTCATATGGTCGAGCCCCTATAAATCGTATCATGCAACTATCCGAGTGGTATTTACAATGATCGATCGTTACGATCGATTGCACGACACTGACAACGCTCAACAAGAAGCTAGATACTCGCTAATCGGCTCCGTGATGCGAAGCGACACATTTAGACAGGAAAGCTTTTGACTCGTCTTTTCGAAACGAGGGAACAATCGTGTACAGTTAGACAAGTTTAAAAGACTGTTTAACGCGTTGACGCCGGGGCTGGAATTCACGTTTCTGCCCATCTGGCTGGGAAATTCTAAAATTGTTGAAATTATTGAAATTATCAGTGAATAAATCAATTTTCAACTACATGGCAGTTTCTTCTATTTACCAAACTAATTTTTCCTTAAGTGCTACGGTCGATTTATCAAACCGCTGGCGAATTATAAATTAATGCTAAAACATATGTATGAAAAAAACATAAGATAATTTCAATGGTTGAATATTATAATGTAATTGGAAGATACATGATGTTTCAACATTGTAAGTTATACATGAAAGAAAATGCAGATAAAAAAAAATTCTGAGCAGTCCAATAGAGTGACTGTAGCATTTAAGGGTTAATAAACTACATATTTTATGATACACGCCGTCATCAACGTATTAAAAGATATTCTAAGTATAAACGAAATTATTAAAATAGACATTTCTGGGCAAGTATGCTAGTAAGCAATAGGAAGGTTCCTTTCTTTTGTATTTATTGGTCTCCATATATGCTAGCAGTGTACACTGTAATGTGTAACGTGTAGAGGAAGTCACTATTATAAGTAAGCTGTGGATTTATATGTAGTTATAGGAAATCAGGAAGTGTAAAACAGAACAAAATTCGCGCAATACAGGAACATATATAAAATATTTAAACTGTAGTATTTACTATAATATTTGCTAGGAAAAATAATTTCCATAGTAGTTCTATTTTTCTAATTATATTCTTAAACCTTTTAATTTGTATAAAGATCCACAGTTTAATTATAAGTGAACCACGTTTCTAGATAATATTGACTTTAGCATACATTTTTCTTCACTATTATTCTTATAATCGTTCATTTATTAGTTGTTTCTAGTCGTATAGTTCATTAAATATAAAATATATATAGTATAAAATAATAAAATAAAATATGTTGAAAAACTCTTTCAATCCAAATACAAAAATTCAAATAAAAATTTCATTTACTCTTCTACGTTTGTTTATGAGTAAGTTAATCTATGTCAATTCTTTTGTATCTTTTAAGGTACATTTATATAATTATTTCAAAGAACACTGCGACCTCACAAGATAAGAAATATAATCACACTCTTATCATAAGATTCATTTTAAACTTGTCGAACTATATGTATAATTATGTACAAAATCGACGAGAAATTAATGACCAATGTCCGAGGACTCAAACGTGCAAGGATTTCCCAAGTTTCCTTTTTGTCTTTCACCCTGGAATAGTCAAGCAACGCCAAAATACAGTGTCTTATTTTATCTTTGACGAAATCACCGATGAAAAAAATAAAATATCCATTAAAAGGTCACAGAAATCAATTCAATTTGTAAACTCTCTTACATTGGGGGAAAGGAACAAATTAATGTAATAATTTATTAATAATTAGAAGCAGTATTATAATAAACAAATAATGGGAGTCAGAAATCTACAGATACAAGACACTGATTTTGGAGGAACTGTGAAAGCATTGAAGATTTCTTACCATCTCCCACTCTCATGACCGCTGGTATGGCGACTGACACGGCTTCTACATTTCCTTTACCGACGTTGCTCGTTGTGTGTTGCATGAATGTCGCTCTGCAAAGAAAACAAACGAATTTAGAAAAACGAGGGAAGTGTCATCAACTTTAAAAATCTAATAAAATGAAATGAATTAAAACAAAATAAAATAAAATGCAACAAACTAAATTAAATTAAAATAAAATAAAATAAAATAAAATAAAATAAAATAAAATAAAATAAAATAAAATGAAATGAAATGAAATGAAATGAAATGAAATGAAATGAAATGAAATGAAATGAAATGAAATGAAATGAAATGAAATGAAATAAAATCTGCTCCTAGTTCCAAAAGCCAAGAAAAAATATATTTATAAAACTTAAAGTAAAACATTATAAGTATCATAAGTAACATCTTCAATACCGACGCTAAATATATCAAACCATAATAAAATAATTAGTCATTAACACGAAATACTACTAATAACATAACATACCGCCCCAAAACTCAGTAAAAAAAATTCTATCTATATCATATATCATCTTCCAATCGCAATTAAATCAAAACTAAAGCAAACTCCATTAACTTCGAAGCTCCGTATTCTCTCCTAGCTTCCAAGAAGCTCCTTTGACGTTGCCTCAAGAAGTCTTCCATGAAATTCCAAAAACTATTCTGTCAAATCCCATCCGCACAAACAACGTTCAACAAACAGGAACTAACTGACTGCTGGTAGATCCAAACTCGTAACCAACAATTCCCCGTTCCCTCATTGCTGTTCCCAATTAACGAAATTAGCGCGACTTACTTAAGAGGCGACACGCTGTCCTCGACCATGGTGGAGCCCTCGTCGCCTTCGATACCGAAGTGATCCTTCGCTTTCTGTTTTTTCAGGATGATGTCGATGTAACCGGAGATCAACTGGAGTATCTGCTCAGCTTCGGTGGTCTGTACGCTGTAGTACTGATCGGAGTAATCGCCGAAATCAAGCGTAAACGTGTTTGGGGACGCACCCCAACGGCGAACGGTGGTTAGCGGCCAGGTCTTCAGGATCTCTTTCGTCTTCTCGTCGAGCCGCAGCACGGAGTCCTTCGTGACGCCGAGCAGACGTGGCACCAGCTTGTTTTTGCCTTTCATCTTCTCCTTTACCAGGAAGAACGTGACGCCGTATGTGCTCAACGATCTCGCCGTTTTCGTATACAACACCTTCGCGTCCAGCTCGGAGAGACTGACATGCTTTTTGTGCTCCGCAAAGATCTTCTTTTCGATACCCTTCACCTTCAGGTACGATTGCGGCAGGAACTCCTTCAGGCTGTGAGAATAGTACGTTTACAAATGTTATTTAATGTTAGATAATGGGTGAGAAATTTGTTATTAATCCCTTGCACTGATGATTTGTTTCTCAACTGTGATCGATGCAATTGCTTTGTCGTTAATAATTTACTGTGAAAAAAGAAAATTCTAGGTGTATTATATGTCTTATGTTTGCTCTGAAGTTTAATAATTGATAACAGAAAGATAATATTTAATTCGAACTTTAAAAACCGATTAATAAGCTTCCAGTAGATAAAGTGTTAAGTTTTTGAGTTCGAATGTTTAACATAACGAGATTCTATTATATTTGGATTTTAAAGTTATAGAGCTTTACAAGTAGAGACGTACGCTCCAACGTGATAAGAGAAACTATATCGGTCATTTAGGAGTATTTGTACCGATCACAAGCAGCAGAAAAAGTGTTCAATAATCTGAGTAATATTTATGTTCGTTAAATTCTCTTTGAAATCTTCACTACGAGTTGACACGATATTATAAGGCAAGGAGTTAAACATAGAAATCAATTGGTAACACGATTGACAGAACTAATTTATATTTTAATAATTTATAATTTAACAATTTATGTAATATTCAATACTCTATCCAATAATTTAATTTATACTATTAACCAGTTAACTGTAGAATTTAGTTTGAAAAATCTCTCATTTTGTGCGCGATAAAATCAAATAATGAAGTACATACTTGTCAAACCCAGGGCAAATGAATCTGTAATATATTCTAATGAAAAATTACAGCGAAACGAAGAAGAACCATGCGTTTATCTGAAGAAATAAATAATTTATCATTGAAAAAATTAGTATTATTTTGCGTTTTAAGATGACATGTATACTCGTCGAATGCAGTTAACTGGTTATATAATATAATGATAAGTAAATAATAATATAATTGAAACTATGTTTGAAATAATTGATCAAAAATGGAATGCTATTATTTCGAATGCTTACTCAAGAAAGCCCGGTTTGTGCTTGTCCTCCTTGTGGTCGCCGAATTGTATCTGACATTGTATTCCGGCGAAAGTGCAAGCTTTCTCCTGTGTAACTGGATGCGTGCCGTCTAGAATCGCATCCCTCGCTTGAACGTATAAAAGAGATAATTGCACGGGATCCCGGCTGTCGATATTTTGATCCGAGAAGAAAAACTTCCTCCGCAGCAACACCGTCTCCGACTCGTCTATTCCTTGCTCCCGCAACGTCTTACTGGGATCTATCCAGTTCACTATGAAGAGAGATTACGTTCCCTTAGCGGATTAAACGGGCGGAAATAACGAAATATTGAACAAATAATCGTCGAGAAAAGAAAATAATCGAAGACAAATATTTAGGGAAGTCACCGCTAATCCGTTCTGAAAGATTAATTTAATGAAATTCGAGGCCATGTTCGATATCTCCAGAAACTTGACTAGAAACAGACATCGTACAATTGTGTAGAATCAGTAAAATGAAAGAAATTCTGAAAAATAACTTCAATTGAAAATAGAATGAAACAAATTGTATTACCCGATGACGTTTAATTTGCAATCAAATATGATTGTACTAGTTAAATTTAAATAAAATCGATACCTCGTGCGATAAAAATTAAATTATTAACTTGAAGTATACTTTTACAAATACCATTGCATTTTGATTTATACACTGATAGAATTTCTGATCCATTGAAACTGTTGAACAGAGTTTTTAATAAAATCTTCATGTTTTTTACGATACAATAAGATTACTAACAAAAGAGTGTCTCCTTTCGAATCCAATTTTTTCAAATTGATCCATAAAAATCTATATCTACATAAAGATACGAAGTTTGATCAGTTTGATCACGAACGCGAAGAATCATAGACACGAAAAAAAGAGAACGAAAAAGAAGACCGAGTAAATTCATCAAAAAAATCCGATCAGATACGGACGTCGTAAGTTAACTCGACTCTTTTCGTATTTTCTATATTTTTTTCACCAGTCGGTCTAGATAAAATTCTAAAAAACTGTAATTAGTGTTTAATGTGATGTTCTTCAGCATATACTTCGTTTCGATACAATTTAAACGCTACGATTTCTGAGTTAGTACATATTTGAATTTTCTACGGATTCAGTGGAAAACTAAAACAGTAGTAATAATAACTATAGAGAAATGCAACAAATTATATTACGAAAAGATGTGAAGAAATGCGAATCATTATCAGAAGACAGTGATGAGAGCCAACGTTTCGCAACAAACATTAATTTCTACATCTAGACAAAGAATTTCGTTACTCATATACAAGTTTAGCAACCAAAGTGTTAAAAAATACTGTGATTGTGCGAAGATTAACCCTTTGAATGCTATGAACCCATATACAGAGTGTTAGAAAATTCTTGCGTATAAATGAAAGGGCGTACACAACTCATTAACCTGAGTAAAAAAAGCTCAGTAAATATGGGTCGAAATCTCAACGGTGTTCGAGATAAAAATCAATTGTGTTTGAAACAAATGTACAGCGACATATTAATTAGCATAGTAAAGGTAACAGTGTACAATACCTCTTGATCATAAAATAGTATGTGTTAAATGTCGCCATTGCGGCGGCACCAATAGCAAAGGGTTACTGTTCGATATCGATAGATCAAAGTTTCGGTGTCGTTACCTTCGTCGTCGGTCTTCAATTTCTTCCTGAGCTGATCCATCTTCGCGTCCCGTTCGCCTTTCTCCTCTTTCTTTCTCTTGAGCGTGAGGGTGCCGAAATTGCCCGGCTTCTGATTCTCGGTCTCTTCGTCGGCCAGCTCGCGCACCAGCGAGTACTCGTCATGATTCGTGATGCCTATCTTCGTGCAAATTACTACCATGAGATTGGCGACGGGTTGACTATCATCCACTAGCAGTGTCTTCAGCGTGCCATCCAACATGCGCACTCTGAGGGTCCGCAGTTTGCGCCGGTACTCGAGAAGATCGCTGTTCCTCAGAATGTAATAATCGAGATTCCGGCCTGGCTCCAGCCAGACACCTTTCTTCACGTCCTCGTCGGCAAGGAATAGTCCATAGTCCTTGGCTGTCGATTTACCGATCATTTCGTTTTATTTTTTTTTAAATTATATACAACTGAAGTCGTGAATTACCAAACAACGCAAATCCCCTTTTTATCGTTTTCTTTTTGATTGTTCTTAGCTTACTCAGATCTATTTAACCTTGATTAGGCTTTAGATTCTTTTTCGTGCTAAATCGAGATTGACCCCTTGCTCTATGATTTACTTTTCAACTATACTCGATAAAACAATTTTATCGTCAATAATTTAGTAGAAAAAGAGAAGAATTTTATGCTTATTCTGTGTTTACGTTTACTACAAATGGTAAAGGTTGATAATAGTCAAGTATGTGTAACCAATGCTTGCAGAAAGAATCAATAAAATAGATAATAAATGAATGAACGAAGATGAAAAGAAAGATTGATTTCCTGGATATGTTGCTTGGTTGACTTGTGCTGTTTTGAGAGTCATGGCTTCAATTGTAATACACGTTTGAATAGTTTAAAATATTATATAGTAACGCGTCGACAAGGAATAATCAGTAGTCCTTGGCTGTAGATTTAGCGATTATTCGATTCTATTTTTTTCAAATTATGCATAATTATAATACATATTTAAACAGTTATTATTGTAACATGTATTCGTCATGGTGCACATACGGACACGTGCTAATTTTGAGAATTTGAAATATTAATAATACGAAAAATGTCAGATCTTTCAGATATTAATAATAATTTGCTGAAATAAATAATAAACGTGATAACAATAATAAGAATATTTATAGTTAGAAGAAACTAGTACTTTATGTTCTTCCAAATAACATTTCTAAAGGAAGTAATCACCAAAATTAATTTCTACAATACTTTTAATATCTTAAATAGCGCAGTACTTATCAGAAGAACACGAACAATTTAATCCACCCACTTACAAAACTTTCTTTTCTATTAAAAGCCCCATATTCATTCAAAATAATGAATATTCCCTAACGTATAATACAACCAGCCCACAGGTTTGATGTACTTATAGTATACACAAGCTTATGCCAACAGAACAAAAGCCACAATACAAGTTCAATATCTTTCCAGCATATATTCTGAACCAATATAAAAATAAATTTCTTCCTTTTTTTAATTAAAAGAAAAACCGTATCGCATCAGCTGGATGTTCATTTATATTCATTAAGGTCACTGTCAAAAATTCGGTACCCGGAGGGAATATGTTAACGGTGTTTGCGTCTGTGCACGCGTTACCATAGGTCGCTGAATATTTTAGGTGAAAGTAGGAGCTTACGGTGGCCCATGTTACTCTCTTCGACGAGCTTCTCTCTGATAATACGGCAAGCGTCGTAAACGGATGTGCTCGGGTCGAATTGCATCGTCTTCGTGGCGTTTTTCTCCGGGATGGAGATACGCAGGGATAGGGTGGCCATTGCGACTGCCTGGGGTGATCTTCTGCGTGCACGAAAACCACCGGAATCACTCGACTGAAACAGAGAAGTAAGTTCTTGTTCACCGAGCTTTCCAACTGTTTACATTGTGTTCGCGACCCAACATTCTAGCATTTATGCAACAGACAAAATGAATTCTAGAAATAATAAAATTAATTTGGAAAATAACAAAATTAATTGCAAAAATAATAAAATTAATTCCATCAGATTCCAGAGAAATAAGTTCTTGTTCACCGAGTTTTTCAATTGTTTACATTGCGATCGCGACCCACCATTCTAGCATTTATGCAACAGACAAAATGAATTCTAGAAATAATAAAATTAATCTGGAAAATAACAAAATCAATTGCAAAAATAATAAAATTAATTCCATTAGATTCCAGAGCAATAAGTTCTTGTCCATCGAGGTTTCCAACTGTTTACATATAAAATTCGCAATCTGATATTCAAAAGTTGCGGAGCGACGATTCGTAGATCAATGGACGCTATTACGAAGAACATAACCGAGTTTATGCGAATATTCGTTTTCCAGTTTACGGCTGAATCAAGTGCAACAAGTTGCAACGGATTGGGCATTGTGTTTTTCGCTCGAATATCATCGTCCTATCTGTAAGCGCGGTTATACGCTATCATAAAGCGGTGGATGGAGGAGGGCAGGGTTTTTACCGGCGTTGCAAATTTCCGAGACCTCTTATACTTCGTTAACTCCATTTGGCTAACTGATTCCATCGTGGGAACACACCGAGTCGATCGTTTTTCAATAGCCAAGCGTTTCAATTGGTAGACCAAGTGATATCTGATATTTCGTTTGACATTTGATTTGGTATGCCGGCGGTTCACCGTGCATGATTTACGCTACGCCCAATAAGTTTCTCCCGCGTATACGTTGAAGCGTTTAATAATTTAACGGTGGACGTTTATAGAAATTCTCAATATCACGGGTTATTTTAGAAGGATCGAAATTAAACAAAATTCTATGTTAGTAATTAAATATTGGTTTTTCTGATGATGTATCGAAGAGAACAGGTTTAGTAAATGTTTCTGAGATATAAAAAACATAAACCCATATATCTTGCGGAAAAAATGTTTAAATGAATAATTAAAATGAAACTTAAATGATGAAAATGAGTACACTTCTACATTCTTTTATGTAACATTTAAAATATTTATGTAATATTCTGGCGTTGATTTAGTTATAAAATAAACTAGCCAAGTCTACATTAAAACCTGTAGAATACCCCGTATTTCGATTTTCTATGGTATGATGCTTCTCATGAAACATGCCACAGGGTGCATCATGGGATCCACAGAGTCTACTTGCGCGAAACCCACCCCCATCACGTGTATCCGGCTAATAAAAATAAATTGTAACCGGCTCGAGTCTAATTAAATCGATCCGATGAAACGAGTCCTCTCATTTGGGCTCTGCGGGGGTCGAAACACCTACTACCGTCGAGCTTTATTTGCATCAACGAGTTACGAATAATCCACGAGCGTTATACGAACAAATCACCGTAATGAAGACGAGTCGACTGTCTCGTTCCACTCGTGACAGGTTTAATTGCTGCTGAAAGTATCGGCTCGGGAGATTAACTTATTGTCTGACGAAACTGTTGGATACACAGCGCAAATTTTTATTCCTTTTTTATCGAGACGCGACTAGGAATATTTCATTCTGAATATTGACCGCTCATCAACAGTTACTGGTTTAAATTAGATTTTGTGAGCAATTGGTATTGAGTAATGAAGATAAATATAGAAACAATGCAGTAACAAAATATTCTTGAGGGTAATTAAAGTTTTTAAAGCTTTTTAAGGAGTTGAATTAATAATTGATTAATTGATTCTTTTTAACTACAGATTTGGTAGATAAGTAAAATATTAATTTTACTAATACTTCAACGGAGAAATTGAGAAATGTGGACTAAGAAATTCTTATAACTGATACTTGTAGTATCTTCATAAGTTCTATTAATTTTGTGAAACATAGTTTCATAGAATACTTCACGTTTCACTCTAAACTGTTTGACCATTGAAAAACGATTCCTAAAAAAGGAATTCCAAGAGCAGGACAAGCAGTTCGGTTATGTTAATTGAAAACTTGATTAATTATAAAGTTTTCGCCTAGATGAAATAGTTCGACTAAAGGAGAAACACACTATTAAACTCATCCCGCGACCCCTGATTCTGTTAAGAAGCAGAAACTAAAAATGAAGTAAGGAAGCCACGTTCCGAAAGGTTTGTCAAGATTCTAACGCATTTTGAAATTGAATTTCTATATGGCACAGGTAAATTTGTTTGCGTTATAATTTTTAATTCGTATAATTATACAATACATACGTTTATCTGTTCTGCATTCAACTAGGTTTAGATTTAAATACGATACTTTATTCGATATCAGTAATTAAACTTTGGATATTTAAGTAAATGTTTCTATGTAAGTTATGTTATACAAATTTTGTATTTACAAAAATTTGAAATAAATAACAATTTCTTGATTCTGTTACATTTCAAATGAAGCATGACTCAAGAGAATAATATGTTGAACGCATTAGCTGTCAAAGCAGTACTCTTAAAAACCCCACAAACTAGAACTGATTTATTTAGTAAAATAGAAAATGAAAATTAAGATTTATCACACAGACTATTTTCTTAACACGATTAAGTAACAATTATTCAACCCAAAATCCGTTAAATCAAGAGTTTCCATAAATCTAGTATTATAGAGATATTAACTCCTTGAGAGATATTTGAAAAATATTAAAATTAAATCTTTTCATAAGATACTGAATGGTCCACAAAAAAATATTAAATATCATGAAACAATAAACCTTCGTATAAATCTCTCTTCATTTGAATAATTAAATTATTCATTTGCAGCTTTGTATTCTGTAGATATCGAAGTTTGAAGTCACCGTTATTGCGGCATTCGACCGCAAAGGGTTGAAAAAGCACAACAATTAAACGGGTTCAAAACCGAATATTCCAAAGTCAAACATTAACCTTACAAGTAAACTAAAAGTCTCCTTCCCGTTGCTCCCAATACGACCGAGTCGCAAAAAAGAAATCCGTCCGATTCGAAAAAATATATTCGCCGCCCACGGGGATGACACACGATATATTACACCACCGCGCACCAAGAAATCGCCAATTACAGGCTGTTTCGTTCGTTTATTCCGTTTTTTTCTTGTCCCGATGGGGGTGGTGAAAGTGGGCGGGAGTGGAGGTCCACACGCATAAATTCGTTGCGAGCGAACCCTACGCCAATGTGGACCTCCACCCTTAAAGGTTGCCAAGCAACGCGGGTCTCTGACTGTGTCAAACTCGAGCACAACCACCCCGAGACACCATCCCCTTCTTACAACCTTCGCAACCTTTCGAAGCGTCTCTGTCTCTCTCTTTTCTTCGCCTTTTCATTTTTCTTCCCCCTTAGCACTCCCTCCTCTGCCCGGTGCCCGTTCCAACTTTCTTGTTTTCTCTTACCCCTCTTCATTCCCGACACTGTATTCCCACCCTCTCACTCTCTCGCTCCCTCTTTCTCCGTAAGTTTTCTCTAGACTTTTTCTCTTTCTCCTCTCGCAGCCACCCCTGTCCACTTATTTCGTTTCCCTCCTTATCCATCTAATTTTCACTCTTTGCTTTTCCACCGACGTCGCCTACCTACCCGGTTTTCTTACCCGTTCACGGATTTTATCTTCCACTGGGACTGGGAATTGTGTTTCTGGACACTGTTCACTGAACACTTGTCCGCTCTTGATTTAATCGCTTATAATCGTTTATGTTTTGTATCGACACTACTATAGGACGAGCTATAACAAGATTAAAAGGAACTGTAAAAATGCAATTTTTCGTGTGAGAATAATTTAATCGACGGAAGAAATTGGAGCTTGAAAATACTTCATTTTTTTTTTATTAGCACTAAAACTATTGAGCATTCAATATGATTGATATGTAATCCGTATAAAAATTGTAACTAACAATTGAAACTATTTATTTCCGAGTTTCGAATATTCAATGCTTTTAAGGTATCAATCATTGCAAAACAAGAAAACCAAAATCAGTGATTTTGACTAGTACGGCAGTTCTAGTGTTACTTCTTGAATTTTGCAATGAGATTTCTATCTTCAAACACGCCTGTGATGTTGGCTTATCATTTCCTTTAAACATAAATTGCCGACTGCACTGTCATGGAGCATAGAAGACGTTTTGAACAGTAAACAATGATTTAACAGCAATAATTCTTTATTCTCTATAACTTCATTGCAAAGAAAATAAGAGAAAAAGGAACAAGAAAGTAAAGAAGTAAAAAAACCAATATATTGTCAAGAGAAATAAAGGATTTCTTCCATTCGTTAATAATGAGTTAACCCTTTGTAGAGGAGCGTTTTTTAAACTTTTAACAACTCTCCCAATAAAAACGGAAAATGCATAGAAGTCTGAAACATTAGAAAAAAAGAGAGCCACGTATTAATCTTTCGTTATTTAAATAATGAATTTATTTAGTTGCAGCATTCGTTTTTAGATATGAAACATCAAAGTGGCCATTACGGCGGCATTCGACCACGAAGGATTGAATGCGCTCGAATAACTGATTTCCTCCAAAAAGGACGGAGGCTTTTGAAACTTCGCATACTGATTTACGTTTAAATCAATAAGTTATAGTGTTACGCGTGTATTCGCTGAAGTTTCGTATTGAAGTAAGTTTTTAACTCCTTGTTCGAAACAAATGTTGCGGGAAAATGCAGTAAATGTTGGAGGGCACGGAAAGAATCAAAGTTGTCGGTTAACATTGAAAATAAATTGAAATTTGAGGACCTTTAAACTGGTTTATCACATGCGCATAAAATATGGTTCGACGATCACGAAAGTTTGCCCGAGACTTTGCAGCGAGTTTATTTCGAAACTCTCGGCCGGGTAATGTATGCAATGATATCGTAAACTCCTCGACTAATAATTTCGTTAGCTTCATCTTCAGCCGAATGAAGTTGTCCAGCGTTCATGAAAGTTGTAAGCAAGGATAATCGAAACAGCGTTGA